AGAGGGCCCCAAGAGCCCCAAGAGAGGCCCAAGAAGGGGAACACGACCCAACAGCAGAGCGTTCCCCCCAAAAGGCCCACAGGAGGCCGCAAGAGGACCCCAAAAGCTTCTCGAGGGCCCGAAAGGCCCTTAGGAGACGTCCAAGAGGTTAAAATAGCCCAGAAGTGCCCTCGATGCGTCAAAACTGCTTCCAAGAGGCCCCCGGGAGGCTTCTTGATTGCCTCAATCTGGCCGCAGGTGGCCTCAAGTCGGGCCTCCACGCAGCCAAGACGGCCAATGGCGGCTTCAGATTGCAGAACCGATGCCCCCAAGGGACCCTCAGACGCCCCCCCAAGAGGCACCCAAGAGGTGCCTCCAACAGCCAGTTGACGAAGCATGCGGAACACCCCAGAAACTCCTGAGATGCCGTCGCGCGCCTGTGCTTGATAACGTTGTCCAAGATCGTCCAGCGCCCCCCCGGCCTGGGCTAGAACCTGAGCGCGCGCGAAGCGCGCGCGATGGTTCTAGTATGTATATGTATACATGTATGTAAACATATGTATTCATATATACACATGTATCGGTACATGCACGCTTATGTCGCGTATCGCTTGCCCTCGTAGCCCATGTGTAGTCTGACCGATGTAGGGCTTCATGTCTGTACCCAGTTTCTTCCGAACGACCCGTCGTATCCGTGCCGCGCCTGCAGCGTTGTCTGGGCAAGTCCGAGCCCGCCTTGGGCCTAGCCAGGGGCCCGTCACAGGCGGCCAGTTAGGCGGCCTGGGTCCTGGAGGTCGAGAAGCGGTTCTTGATGAAGGTTCTGTGTCGCTTTTCATTGGAGAGGGCAGGATCGGGGCAACGTAATACTCGATATTGCCAGATATTGGTTTTTCAATGTTTTTTGACGAGCCCGTCCTGGATTTTGACGTTTCAATGTTCGTGAGATGTTTGCAGCGGGAGCCCTTGTCAAATTTCAGACTGGGTCTTGTCATTTTCTTGACGGCCCCTTCAGGCCAAACCTACTTAGTCCCCCGAACCCGAAATTTACGTCTCCCCGTCAGGACATGCCGAGACTTGGCGCTAGACATGGGCGTATTTACAGACGCCCCCCCCCCTCCGCCCAGAAAAAACAGCACGCGCGTAACGTGTTGGAGTTCCGCTGATTTATTGGAATGGCGCTGGGCCCACCTAGCGGCGCCTCCGGCGCCGACCCTGGCGCGCTCCGCACGCCAGTTGGGAGGGATAATGTGTTTTTGTTCTAAGGACACCTGGCATTCTTCCATTTCGGCCCATCCTCGGCGCGCGTCGCCTGCCAGTTGTTGAAACTTGGACGCGCCAGAGCCTTGTAGGCATAACTTGCATCCTTATGCTTGGCCCCGACTGCAGACGCCTATGGCCCATCCCGACAGCTTGAGCTGGGGGCATCTGTGGCGGCCTCTAGGAATCCCCTAAGGAGTCTTGGGGTTGTTTTAGACGCGAAGTGTCGAGGGCACCTATCTTGGCGCATTTTTGACGTCGACATTACGTATTGGCATCAGTTTCTCGCTTGTTTCTGCCAGCCCCAGTATTGTGCCACGAAGGTGCCTCCTTGCTAGGCTCGCTATTGCTTCGCAAGGAGCTGAAGCCAACCCTGAAGCAGCAAGAGGGTGACACCCTTCTACCGTGCATCCTCGTCCTCCTATTTGTCCCCCCCTCCCTGTCCTGCTCCTCCCTTCCTCCGATCACCATGGTCCGCCAAAGAGAGGCCTGGAGTCGAGTGGGGACCCTGGAGAAGACTCTGGCAATAAGGAGGCCGTGTGGCTCGAAGCTCGGGGAATGGCCTGGACTGAGTGATGCCTCCTCGTCTGTCTCTTTCTCCTGCTCCTCCCGTCGCCAGCTTGCTGGCGCGTGCGCACCTTCGAGAGAAGAGGCTGTTACCTCGGTAGCCGCAGAGCTTAACTGATGCCAGCCTATGGTTCAGCAAGTAGTGCAGTCAAGATGCTGAAGACGCTGAAGGGGCTCTTGTCTTCGGACCGCTCCTCAGATTTAGTTTTAAGGTGGGCTTGTCACTCTACAGGAGGAATATTCAAACATAGTCGACAAAATAGTCTGGTGACGAGTTTTCTAGGTTTGTTTTTGATTATGTTTAAGCATGCTTGGACCATTCAATGTTTCCTCCAACATCTCACTGTAGGAGGACATGCCCGACCTAACTGTAGGTCTGGGAACCTACTCATTGGCCGAGTATCGTCGTGGCCACACGAGCCCCGCTCGTTCTCTGTTCGGCGCTTCCTGTGCCGGCACGGCGACGGCATGTGCAGAGGCAAACTCCATACGCAGTGAGTCCACGTGGAGCGTTCGGCTTCCATCAGGACTGAACTCCGTCTGCACTTGGCACCTCCTGATGCGAGGCAAGGACTTCACATGCGGGTTAAGTCCGCACGGAGTGCTCGGTCTGTGGGCTTCCTTCGTCTGGACATGGCCACACGGAATAAGTCAGACGAAGTACTCGGTCTCCGCCTGCGCTGACTCCGTCTGGGCTGCGCCTATCCTGATTGACGACGTGCCCCCCGACAGAGGCCTCCAGGGGGCCCTCTTGGATGCCACTGTCGGTGGGGGCTGCGCTGCCATGGGAGCCGTCTCAGTGCCCTTTTGGAGGCCTTCCTGACGCTTTCCCCCTGGCCCCGGTTGCGCTGGTTGCGCCCTGCAGGGCACGCCTGAGGGGCTCGATGATTTTGGACTTGTCTTGCTCGTCCCGTCGCTCCCCCCCTCACCTCCCCTGCGCTCCGCCCCCCCCCCCCCCCCCTGACCCCCTTCCCTGCCCTCCCCCCCCGTCCCCCCCGAGACAGGGCCTCCCGGGCTCGCGGTCGCAGCTCCCGGGCAGTACCGGGGCAGGTCCAGACCGGCAGATTTGGACGGCGCGCCGCTACATAGCCCAGAGGAGGACAAGGTACCCATGCCGCTGCCCGGTATTTTTGGATGCCCAAGTCGCAGTCTTTTTTAGACATTTTCCTAAGTTTGGAGTCGGTTGGCGTTCCCTGTTCCCTCCTCTCAGGGGGGCGGGCGGAAGCTCAATCAGATTTCAACGCTGGGTCCCCGGACTATAGGTACCCTCTCCCCGAACTACAGGTACCCCTCCCCTGGACTACAGGTACCCCCCCTGGACTGCAGGTACCCCCACAGGACTACGGTAGGTTTGCGTCGTGTCGACCGGCGGCGACCCCGCCGCCGACGTTCAAGGTTGAGCGCCGCCGGCGACCCAGAATCGGTCGATGTTGAACGATCGGACGTTGCGGCAGCGGCCGATCGTTCAAGGTTGAACGAGCCAGCGCGGTGTCGGGAACCAACGCTGGGGTCGACACGGCACGGACCTGCAGTACATCCACGCGGTTGCTGACGCGTGAACACGCGTTCCCCCCAGACTGCAGGTACCCCCCCCCCGGACTACAAGTGCCCTTCCCCCTGACTACAGGTACCCCACCCCGGACTGCTGGTACCCCCCCTAGACTACAGGTACCCCTCCCCCGGACTACAGGTACCCTCCCCGGACTACAAGTATCTCCAGAATTATTGAGGGACACAGAGTACGTCATGTTTCTACCCACTTCTTCCGAGCGACTGGTACCCTTCCTTCGTTTTCCCCCTGTTGAGCCTCCTTGAAGGCCCCCGTCGACACCGCGGGATGCGCCTCGACGTTCTGGTCAGAGCGCGCCCCGGGGAGGTCCGGGCAGCAGCGGCATCGGTGCTGTTTGGTCCCCCCTCTGGCAGGGTTCCCCGCGCTCGTGCGCGGCCTCCCGCCCCTCCCCTGCATCCCCGCCCGTCCGTGGCCCGAACACAAGCAGGCCCCGCAGGGAGTTTCACAAGAGGGGCCACAGTGGCAGTGCAGCTCAATGCCAACCGCGAGGGGGGGGGGGTCATGCTGGCCTGGCATCGGCGGGGCCTGGCCTTTGCGTCCTGGCGTGGTGCCTGAGAGCCGTGTGGCTCCTTGACCCCCGCCGCGCGCACGGCGCCGCGGCGGGGCCGCGCCGCGGCAGATGCCCGCGGCGCGTGGCCCCGCGGCCCCCGCGGGGCGCCCCTAGGCGGCCGCGCGCCCCCGAGCGGCGAACACGTCCGTATCCGTGCTCTCGCGGTCCGGGGTCGGGGGCGCCATCCCGCGGACACGCGGTCGCCCGCGGGCCAAACGCCCCGTGTCGCGGGGTCGCGGCCCAGGGGCCCGGCCCGCGAGGCCGCGGATGCGGCTGCGGTCTTCGACCACGGGCCCCGCCCCCCCCGGCGGGCCCGCGCGCGCCGAGGCGCTGAGGCGCACTTGCGGCAGGTGCCGTGCGAGGAGGAGGAGGAGGAGGAGGCGGAGGAGGAGGAGGAGGAGGAGGAGGAGGGGGAGGAGGAGGAGGAGGAGGACCTGGAGGAGGAGGAGGAGGAGGAGGAGGAGGAGGAGGAGGAGGAGGAGGTTGTGGAGGAGGAGGAGGAGGAGGAGGAGGAGGAGGAGGAGGAGGAGGAGGGGGAGGAGGAGGAGGAGGAAGATGAGGATGAAGATGATGATGATGAAATGACGATGACGATGACGTTCAAGATGAACGATGACGATGATGATGACGACGACGATGACGATGGTGATTGATGATGATGAGATGATAATGATGATGATGATGATGACGCATGGAGATGATGATGATATAATGATCATTTGCCTGGTGCTGATGATGAAGCTGATATGAGGCGAATGATGAGATGATTGATGATGATGTGATGATGATGATGATATGATGATGATAGATGATTGATTATGATGAAGCTGATGCGATGCTGATCTAGATAATGATGAAGATGATGACTGATGATGATGATGATGAGATTTATGATGATGATGATGATGATGATGATGATGATGATGATGATGATGATGATGACGATGACGATGATGATGATGATGATGATGATGATGATGATGATACTGGTGATCATATTTGTGCTTGCACGGTTTTCATCTGCGCAATCCGCCGCCATTCGGGGGCTCAAGGCGCAAGGGCCGGCCGAGTGGCCGGATGTTTCCGCCGTGGCTGGGGCGCGTCGCGGATGTGGCCGGCGCTGAGTTGGTGAGCTACCTGTCGCGCTGCCCGCCCTGCCCGTCGCTCCCTGCCCCGGCGGGCTGCAACGTGAGCCTCGTGTGCCCGAGCATCCCGCCGTGCCCGGCCCTGCCCAGCGTGCTGGGCGGGCCGCAGTGGGCCCAGGCGCCGCAGCCGGGGCTGTCGTGCGGGCCCTGCCCCGCACCGCCGACCTGCCCAGGGGAGCAGGTGTGCCGCTGCTGGACGCTCAGCTTCTCGCTGTTCCTCGTGGGGGTGCTCGTGGGGGCGCTCATCACGAGCGGGCTGGGGAGCTGCCGACGTCTGACGCCGACGAGTTCGCGTGCTGCGCCTGTCCGTGCTCTGACGGCGGGAGGTGGCCAGGATGGCGACCACTCAGTGGGTATACGTCTGGTACGCCGGCGAGAACAAGTGGCACCAGCACCTTAACTTAGGCAGGATCGCTCTCAGTCGCAGCGATCACGTCATCTACACGGCCGATGGCGACATGTACATCATCCAGATCCAGGACAATCCAGACATCCAGGCGACGAGGTTCGGCACGTACGCCACGCCCCCCGTCGGCCTGCGGAGGGCCGACGTCTACGGCTTCAGGCAGGAGCCCACCCAGGCCGAGGTCCGCCAGCTGGTGGTCGAGGCCGAGGAGGTGGCGGGCCAGGAGTGCAGGCGCCGGGCCGAGCTCATCGGGGACTTGCAGGTGCTGCGCGGGCTGAAGGTGCTCGTCCCCCCTGGGGGGGCCGCTGCCGCGGGCCCGGCAGCGCCGCCGCCTGGTCCCGCCGTCGGGCTGCTGCGTGGCCGCGCTGCTGCCGCTGGGGCTACGCCTCGTGCTGGTGGGGTGGCCGACGTGAACGACGGCGTGTGGCGCGTGGCTGCGTGTGTGGGCGACTTCAGGGTGGGCGACGAGATCGTGGAGCACGTGCCGTCGCCCTCCCACGTCGGGGATCGGGATCTGCGCCTGCTCCCGTCAGGCGAGGCCCTCTTCGTGGAGTTCGTCACCTCGGCGGCTCTGCCAGGGTTCTTGCAGCGCGCCGTGGGGGCCGACGCGAGGATCCTGCCGGTGACTCGCAACGAGCGGGGGAAGAGGGAGCTCACCTGGTCGGCGATGGTCGAGCTCACCAACCGTGAGGAGTTCGACGCCTCCGACTGGGGGCTCCCCGGCCCCCGCACCGCCGACTGGCGCATGGACTACATCCTGAACGAAGGCCTCGGGGTCGAGGGCCACCGCGAGCACTTCCGGTCGATCCGCAAGCTTGCGGCCTCGGACTGGGGGGTGCAGGAGCACTACCAGCTCAGCCTGCAGCTCGAGCAGGCCCTCTACATCGACATGCTGGACGGCTCGAATCTGGTTTCTGTGGAGACAAAGTTCAGGAGGATGCAGACGATCGAGTTCGCCCACTGGGACAAGGCGAAGGACCAGGAGAGCAAGGGGATTGGCGGCAAGCTCTCGGGCGTGACCCGCGCCCACACGGCCATCATGATCTGCCCGGACCTCATCGAGCATGTTCGGGCGGAGCTCGAGCGGGAGGGGAAGCTCAACAAGAACCTGCGCCTGGCACGCGAGGAGCGCGAGTCCAGGCGCAAACATGGGTAAGCAAGGCACGGCCACTGGGAGCGGCAGGGACCCAGTTGGCCGAACTATTTCCTGCAGAGGTCCGAGTAACGCGTCGGGCCCAAGCGCCGCCACACCGGGTCGTCGCGCACCTCGAGATGTGTTTCCTCTACCTTATCCTTATGACCTTCAACGTCAGCGGGGCGAGGCTTTTCGAGGGCTCAGCCGCGTCGTTCAGCAACGACACCTTCGGCGGAGCAGTTTTGAGAGGGACGTGACCCGGGCTGTGGACGCATTGAATTGGTTGAACGACTCGTCTACTCATGTCGGGCGGGACCGCAGTTTTACAGCAGGCGCCCTGTCGCTGGCCCAGCGCCAGTGCCTGACGCACATCAGCAGCTCTGTGGAGGAACTTGGTGCACCTCCGCGAGATCTGTCTCCCGCAGAAGCGCTACGGCAGCTTCGCGTGGCCGGGGGCGGCTACTGTGTCGAGGAGTCGCCCCTCGGAAGCTATGGCCCCGCGCTTGTCTCCTTGCCGGACGGGAAGGTGCCTCCAGTTCCGCTCTCGGACGTGTGGGGCGATGGCGGGATATCCAAGGTCGAGCTTTTTGTTCAGCAGAGCCTGCTGCCGGCTGACGTGGCGGCCGCTCGACTGGACGCATGGTCTGTCAAGACGCCCTACTCTGACCCTCGGCTGAGGTGCGCACGAGACTGGGAAGGTTTCGCTCGTGATCTGCATGCTCGTAATTTGGTCGACTTCTCGCTGGACGACGGCGTGAGGGTCGACGCGTTTTTTGTCAAGAAGAAGGGGGGCCGCCTCAGGATGGTGATCGACTGCAGGCGCAGCAACGTCGTGTTCGCCGACCCCGCGCCCGTCGTCTTGCCCACGGGGGACTCGTTTGCCGCGCTCGAGCTGGACGACCCCGAGGGCATCCTGAACGTGGAGGGCGTTGACCTGAAGGACGCGTTCTACCACCTCGAGCTGCCCATCGAGCTCAGGAGGTACTTCGTGATGCGGCCCATCCTGGCGGGCTCCGTCGGCGTCTCCAGCCTCGGGGGGAGTCAGGTCGCGCCCGCGGCCAAGCTCTTCCCGAGGCTGAAGGTGGTGCCGATGGGCTGGTCGTGGGCGCTGTGGTGGTGCCAGTCCATCATGGAGCGCATCGCGGAGCAGTCGGGCTGCCCTGAGTCGCAGCGGCTGCACGACGGGCGCCCTGCGCCTGGCCTCAGCGAGTTCGGGCACCTCCAGTACGTGGACAACTTCGTCAGCTTCGGCTACGATCGTGTCGCCGTCCGCGCGGCGGTGGCGCGGGTGGCGGCCGAGCTGGGGCGTCGCGGCCTGGTGGTCGCGCTCGAGGATCACGCTGGGGAGCACGAGGGCACCTTCAACGTCCTGGGCTGGGACATCGCCGCCTCGGGGAGGCTGTCCGCCTCGGGGAGGCGCCTGTGGCGTGCGCGGCTCGCCGTCAGGTGCCTTCTCAGGCGAGGCCGCTGCTGCGGGGCGGACATCGAGCGCATCCTCGGCCATCTCATCTTCATTGCGCTCGTGCGGCGCGAGGGCCTCTCGCTCTTCGAGGCCTGCTTCAGGTTCGTGCAGACCTCGTACCACGTGGAGGCCCCGCTCCCGGGCGGCGCCCGCACCGAGCTCGCGGTGTGGGATGGGCTGGCGCCCCTCCTCTGGCGGGATCTGAAGGCGGGCTGGTCGATGGACGTGGGCGCGGTCGACGCGTCGCCGTGGGGCCTGGGCGCCTGTCAGTCCACCTGGGCTCCCGCGGCAGTCAAGTCCGTCGGGCGGTACTGCGAGCGGTGGCGCTTCGGGCGGGCGGAGAGGCTCCCGCCACGGCGCCGCGCTCTGGCCGCCAGCCAGCGGGCGCTGGGCCAGGCCATAGCGGCCGAGGTGGGTGACCCCGCTTCCGGCGGCCCTGGGCTCGTTGCCTTCGCGTCGGCTGCCGACGCCCTGCCAGCCGAGCCCGTCGGCCCGCCTTTGGAGCGCGACCTGGCCGAGTTCCCCGAGGTTCCAAAACGTCTCCTCGAGCGCTCGGCCTGGACTGTCACAGGGAGGAGGAAGTGGGACCGTTCAGAACCGATGCCCATCCTTGAAGCCAAGCGGTTCACTATCACCTTCGTCACGCCCTTCGGAATGCAAACAATCATGGCAAGAAGATCTTGGTGCTAGGAGACTCTCTGACGGCTGTCGCCGCCTCGTCCCGCATGCGAGCTCACTCGCACGCAATGCTCCGGGTCATGCAGCGCATCTCTGCCCTGTCCTTGGCTTCTGGGTCGTATCTGTGCGTGAGGTGGGCGCCCACAGAGTTCAATGTGGCCGACGGGCCCTCGAGGGGAAGGGGGTCTCCAACAAAGCCTACAGACATCATTCTTGACAAGCACGACCCCACAAAGCACGACATCAAACGCAAGCACGAGTACAACATCATCAGCACAGTCAAGCACGATATTACCGACATGCCCATCATCAGCAAGAGTGGCAAGCACGACATCAGCAAGCACGACAAGCACGACATCAGCAAGCACGAGATCAGCAAGCACGGCATCAACAAGCATAGCGTCACCGACAAGCACGACATCAGCAAGATAGGCCAGCACGGCAGCAGCACGCATGACACCGACATCAGCACGTTCCTTCCTTCGCATCGCCGTTTGGGTTCATGCTGTCCAGCTTCGAGGCCTTCGCCTGGCGAGAGCGCGCCCCCACTGCCTGTGCAGAGGAAGTGCGACTGGCATGCTGGGGCGGGCTCGCCGCCGGAGTCGGTCGCCGCGGAGCCAGCCTTCGTCGACCTCGGCAGCCTCGCGACCGGGCCCCCCGGTCTGGCCGGGCCGCCGCGCTGCTCGCCAGGCCGCGCCTGCCGCGCGGACCGCGCCGGGCCCTCTGCAGGGCGTGGGGCGCAGGCCGGCGGCGGCGACGCCGCGCCCCCAGACCCCTCGGGAGCGGGCGGCCGAGGTGCGGCCTCCGCCGGGCGTGCAGGTGCTCAACGCCGCCGCGGTGCGCACGGCGAGGGGCAGGGAGGCCTACCAGGTGCTGTACACCGCGTTCGTGACTTGGGCCAGGAGCCAGCAGATGGCGCTGTCCTCGGCCGCGGACGTCGACAAGGCAGCGGTGGGCTACCTGCGCGCGATGTTCAACGAGGGGAAGCACCTGACCTACGCCAACCGCCTCATCGCGGCCATCGCTTGGATGCGGCCCGAGTTCAGTCGGCACGGCCAGCTCCGCCTCCCGCGGGCGAAGCAGGCTGCTGTGGGCTGGAAGAACCTGGCGCCGCCCAAGAGCCGTCAGGCGCTGCCGATCGAGGTGGTCTTCCTGATCGTCAACTGGATCCTCTTCCAGCGGTCCTACGAGGCTGCGCTGGCGGCGCGGCTGCTGTTCGAGATCTACGGTCGGCCGGGAGAGATTCACAAGCTGCGAGCCGTGGACCTCGTGCCGCCGCTGATGTCGCGGGGCGCGGCCCACCGCTTCTGGAGCCTGACGCTCCACGCAGCCGAGGTGGGCGACGTGTCCAAGACGAACGAGTTCGACAACTCCGTGCGTCTCGACCTGCCTCGTCATCAGCGGTTGGCCGCAAGCCTGGACTGGATGCTGGCTCGCAGGTGGGGCGCGGGCTGGAGGGCGAGCGCCCTCGCCCGAGAGGGCGGGGCCGCAGGCTTGCCCGGCTCGCTCTTCCTCATCTCGCCCGCGGACGTGTCCCAGGAGTTCCGGCGGGCGGTGACCGCCTTCGGCCTCCGCCGCCTCGGCGCCGCGCACCTGTGCCAGCTGCGGCATGCCGGGCCGTCTCACGACTCCGCGGCCTCCTGCCGAACGCTGGAAGAGATGCGCCGCCGTGGCCGGTGGCGCACCTGGAGCAGCGTGCGCCGCTACGAGAAGGGCAGCCGCCTGACAGAAGTGCTGCATCGTCTACCTCTCTGGCTGCAGCGACACGGGGGAGCCTGCGTCGAACACCTGAGCCGACCCGTGTTCGAGGTGCCCCCACCTTTGCCGCAGCCCGTCTGAGCGCGCCCGTCATACTTGAGCTGTTTTCTGGGCATGGAGGCTTCGCCCGTGCCGCAGGGGCCATGGGCTTCTGGGTTCTCGTGTGGGACCTATCTCTTGGGGAACAGTACGACTTGACGCGCTCTGAGAATCGTGCCAAGATCAACGCGTGGCTCCGAGCAGGTTTGCTGCTTGGCTGGCACGCGGGCGTTCCATGTAATACACTCACACGTTACGGTATCGGTCCACCAGCTGTCAGATCAGACGAGTATCTTTTCGGACTTCCCGATCTGTCGTTTAAGTTGCAAGCTCAGGTTGATGCCTCCAATCGTCTGAACAAATTCGTCGCTTCGCTTGCCCGGGCCTCTCTGGCCCTCGGTGTGCCGTGGTCCGTCGAGAATCCCAAGACCTCTCGGCTCTGGCTCTTGCCTGACTACAAACGCCTCCACCGCCGACGTGGTGTTGAGCATGTTGTTACTTCTATGTGCATGTGGGGCACCCGGTGGCGGAAAGACACGGGGCTCCTCTTAGGTTTGCTGGATCCCACGCCGTGGCGTGACACCAGATGCCAGGGCTCGAAGCGTGGAATACGTGCTCGCACCGGCCAACGTCATGAGATCCTCAGTGGCAAGAGACCCGACGGGACTTTTGCCACCAGTGCTGCAGCCATATACCCAGTGCGCTTCTGTAAAGCTCTGGCCCGGCCATTTTATAATGCTCACGTTGCAAAGATGGCTGCCTCTTTCCAGAGGCATCTGTGAGAATTCGGCGCTACCAGCTTGCAAGCATGCCTGCATATTTGGCATGTAAA